CCCCACCGCCCCCACCGCCCTCACCACCACCACCACCACCACCACCACCACCACCACCACCACCACCACCACGACCACGACCACGACCACGACCACGACCACGACCAAGACCACGACTACGACGACGACGCGACGACGAACACGAACTACCACTACTACCACTACTACTACTACTACTAACAACAACAACAACAACCACTACCACGACCGTAACTTACTTGAGGACTCATAGTTGTTTACACTTCTGCTACCAGAAATTTGAGGCACACGACGAGCTATACTGACCAACTGAGAAAATTCCCGTGTCAACGCGTATCTCTTCTTGGCAGGTACGAAAAGTTTTTGTACTGCAAAATGCTGCCAGATTCTCCGCAACTGAGAAAACGCAACTTGATTTGAAACACAATGCTGGCAGGTGCAGTCTTTCCTGCACCTGCGGAGAATCAACCAACCCGATCGCCGAGAATTCCAATGTCAACTTGGAGCTCGTTTCAGGCGCCAAAAAAGGTGACATTTGCAAAGAATGCTGGCAAGCGCAGCCTTTTCTGCACCCTAACCAGCAACATAAAGAATGGAGAGGCAAGAGCAACTCAGGACAGCAGTTCTAGGAAATGCTAGCAGGGGCATTATTTCCAGCACCTGACATGCAGAATAACCTGGCGTCAATAACACCACGACGACGACGACGACGACGACGACGACGACGACGATGACGACGACGACGACGACGACGACGACTACTACTACTACTACTACTATACTACTGTGGCTGCTGCTGCTGCTATTGCTGCTTCTGGTGGCTGCCGGTCTTCCAGCTGCCGCTTCGTGGCATTTTTGAATGCGGCTAGTGTTACAACCACCTGATCGCACTCCAACTCTTCTGCGGCAGTTGCTGGGCGGTGCGAGCCTGGCGCTCTTCACGGCACTGCTCATGGCGCTGAGCCTGGACATCAAGACCTTCTCGACCCTAGAAGTGGTTTGTTTCTGTCCATCTAAACACACCCTGCCTTCCTCAGAGCACAACGGGTAAAGCCAGCCTAGTAGCCCACACTATGGGCAAGTGGGTAAGATGTTTAAGGTGTTTCCGTGGCTTGCAAGGCACGGCGCTTCTTCGCAAAAGCCCAGCCTCCACCTGCCTTGGCCCTGGCAACGTTTGGAGGTTCAAAGAGGTCGTGTTTAAGCTAGAGCTTCAGTCTGTGGCATCTTGAAACTGAATTTAGGGCCGAAGGTCACAGCTTGAACAGCTGAGGATTCATTCAGGGTTTATAGCCAGGCTGGTAGACTGGTGCCTCCCAAGCTTTCTGACCAAAAATGCCGGGCAGATCTCTTTCGCACGTTAGATTTGGCAACCCAACCTCTCAAGTGTTGAAGCTTCAGAACCCTCTTCGAAGTTTGGAGACTGGCTCATTGAAAGTGTGTTGTGAATGCTGACGCTGAGAGGGAGGAATTCTTGGGATGAGGGGTCTTTTGCTCGTCTCTCTTTCCGCGCTGGCCTTGGCTTAAAGATACAGAGCAAATCGCCGTGCCCAACATGGCGATGGCCGGAATCCCACGGCCGCTCATTTTGCCCTTCCTAGCCGCTGTTTCAGCGTTGGCGTCCGCCTGTGAAGAGCTCGCTTGCCCTTGGGCTTTGAGAGCTAAAGTTGCATACAGCTTAGCCGGGTTGACTGCCCCGGTCAGGATAGTTAACTGCGGTTCAAGATCACAATACGTGCCTGGTTTAATGATGAAAGTGGTCTCTGCCTGTAACGCGTCGCCAGGTAACAAAGCTTGCTGTGTCTGTGCAAACACAGCCCAGGCCTGGAAGATGACTCTGGCTACACCGCACTTTTCCAGAGGGAGCCTCGCTTCTCCACCTGTGGGTGTTTACTTTTGAAAACAGCCAAGGTAGCCGCAGATGTCGGTTTTGTGGTTAGCAAGGCCATGCCCGCGTTTACAACATTTCTTTCCCTCTGGCTTGGCGCTGAACATCCACAGCTGCACTAGCAGCACTAGCCTTAAAGTTTAATGAAACTGAAGCTCTGGGCTGTTGAAGCTCATGTAACTGCCCTTGGGCTAGTGTAGCTCCCCTGTGGGTTGCTGGAAGTGAGGACCAGCAGTATCGACGGCAACGCTCGCTTCTTGCCACCAGCAGCAACAGCACTCAGCGCGCCCTCCCGACCACTGGGAGCCCTCCCGTACCTCAGGCAGGCTGATATCTTCGGGGAAAAGTTAGTAGATGCGGTTTGCACCTTCGGGCAGAGAGTTTGGAGAGTAGCGGTTGGCCAGAAACAAGTACATTCTGTTTTTGCTCAGAGAGAAAAACGGGCCTTTACTGGAAGACAACATGTCCTTGCTTTAGGTGAGGGTGGCCTTCTCGGCGATGAGCAACAGTGGTCAGGTCATCAAGGTCAAGAAGGGGAGGTCGGCCTTGCACTGGAATTAAAACTGAACACCGCCCCTGAGAATTTCGTTGGCAGCACATGGGCTTGTTGTGAGAGAGGGAGTGGGGCTCCTAAACCTCTTAGATTCATGTAGCAGCCCCCCTGCAGTGTTTGGCCGCCAAGCCACTACAACAGTTACGTGCCTCCCTATGCAGAGCACATCGAAGGGGTGCAGCGCTTCAAGGGAAACTACATTGCCTTCTCAGGACGGGGCTGTGGAGCTCGGGTACCTTCAAGCCCTCCTAGTTTCTTCTGAGACTCTTGCCGGGAGCCATGGCAAATGAACGAAGCGTAATTTTGCTTTCCTAGTCCAGTCTGCGCTGCCATTTGGAGCGTGCTGGAATGAAGCAACGATTGTTCAATGGTTGGTTATCGTTTCCGAAGAAGGATACCAATGTTGCTCATAATGCTGCGGGTAGTAGGACGTCTTCACAGTCATCACGGTCTAAGTGCCTCTAGCCTGAACTTCAGCCGGAGGAGCGCAGAGCGAGGCAGGCGACCTGTTCATTGCCACCTTGCAGGGTGGATCGGGACGCCTTGGCTCAGCGAGTGGGCAGGTGCCAGGACTCACAAAGGTGTGGTTGCATAGTTTCAAGGAAGGCGACAGGTGTTGCAGCTTGCGGATGAAGGCTGGAAACATGTGGCGGCCCTGCTTCAGAACAGCTTCAATGGGTTGCTTGCACTTGGGTTGATTTCGTGGCTCTTGTGCAAGAGCTAAGAGCTGCTTGGGTAGGGGAGCTTTTGTATGCTTGCGCGATCTGATTATCATGCTTACCTTTGGTTTGAAGTCTGAAGAATCTTTCATTGCTTGAACTGCCAGGTCGTGAAGAGGGTGATTGTGGACTCAACGTTTACGCATGCTGGGGGCTTTCAGATCTGCGGTGATCTGCTCGCCATTGGGGCTGAAGCACAGTGTTCGCCGTTTCAAAGAGTTTTGGGCGGCTGTGCAAAAAGGTCCAAGGTGCTGTTTTTTGACGTATCTGATCCATTGAATCCAGTCAAGCTACCTTCCGTGATTGACCGGCCTGGAAAAACGGCTGGTGCCGTAGGAATTGCTCGACAAGCGAATGGGAAGTGGCTTGTGATGGTGGGTGATACTGACAACGACAACATTGACCTTTATGTCGAGCAAGATGATACATCTTTCAAACCTGTCGCGTCCTGGAACAAGAGGGAGTTGCTGAAAGATGCAGGAGTGGAAGGCAGCTACAAGTCCTACCAGAACATGAACGTGCTTCTGCAGAGCGATGGGCAGATATTTATGGTTTGCACCGCTTTGTCTTCTATGTTCATGGGCTCTGATTACTTCGACCTCTTCACTGTGCAGCCAGCGAGCAATGGGAGGGCAACCATCACCATGGTTGCTTCCAAGAAGGTTGGGCTTCCAGTTGCGCATGGCATCTATCATTGTTAGAACTCCGAATGAGAATTAACTTTCACGGATCAGATCAGAGAGATAAGTTGATGTCCGCACCCAGCTTCTTGGTATCCTTAGCCAAAGAGTGACGTGCCTTGCCAATTTCTCCAAACCTCCTCTGCCGAATGGTTGCAATCCGGTCCAGGAAGTATGGTCGTTCAGTCCCAACAGCATCAAGGGGGCCAGTACGAAGATTCTTGCTTGTGATGTTCCGCTGCAATATCTACGGACATCGTTATATTCGTACCCGACGCTTCTTTCAAGCAACACTTTTGGTGCTCGAGATCTTTGGCCCATGAGGCAACCTGCCACGGCTGCACCTTCGCAGCAGCGGCTGGGATTTACGTGAACCCGCAGGATGGGTAAAGCTAAGATCACTCTTTCCATGTTGGCAGTAAACAGCAGTTGCAAGTTGAACGACACAAGGGCAAGAGGACAGACCAGTAACAGCAAGTTTGGTATGGCCGCGAGGATGGTCATGCAACATGCAGGAAGCTCGAATTCATCAGGGTCATTTCAGGGCTGGAGGGTTCCACGCAGACAGCCATCAGTTGAATGCAGACAGCCATCAGTGGAGTGCAGAATTATCCGGAGAGGACTGTGCAGTGTAGTTGAGGCTTCCCAAGGAGGGCTGGTTACAGAGCTCTCAAAACATGACGTTAGTTCTCATGTGCCCTTCATGGAGGATCCTTCGCAGTTGCTCGGCTACGCATCTGGCTGGCTGCCATCCTCAACCTCGTTTTCTAGTATCCCGGTGCCTGACCGGTTGCTCAGCAAAGTTTTTTTTGGTGCGTAGCAATTGGGGATCTCTTGGGGCTGTAAGACCTGTTGTTTAAGCGGCCGCAGAACCGTGAGGTGCCTGGCGACACAATTTTCGTCAATGAGTTCTGAGCTTTGTGCGCTTCGGTAGGATCTCACACCAGAAATTTTGTATTCGTTGGTGTCTCTGAGGCCGTAGTATCGCCACTTGTTCTTTGTACTCTTGGAGTGATGCCTAGCGCGTGAATGAAGCCACCGCCCCCGAATCTAATGAAGCAACCGCCCTCTTAACCTCATAGACTGTCATAGGCTTTGCCTCGAAGGATTGCGAGGAAGATGTCTCACAGTCCATAATAGGCGGTTTCTGGTTGGCAAGTTGCCGTGCGCAACAATGTGTGCCAGCCTCAGGTGTTGCACGCGGAAGGCAGCGATCCTGCCACATCCAGCCACAAGTCTTTAAGCCCCAGAAGCAATCAACTGATCCTTGACAGAAAGCCTGCTAGCCTCTTGATTGCTTTGAGGAGCACGGGGCCAAGGAGTGTGCTTCTCGCCCCGGTGAGCCAAGTAATTTTAAGCCCGAGCCGCCGAAGATGCCTGCTCCCAGCCTGAAAGATGGATAGCGCTTGCTCAGGCCAATAGAGCTGCCTTTGAGATTTCGCGATGCTCTACGCACAGATATCCTTCTGTGCCACGTACACGCATGAGACTGCTATAACGACAAGTGTTGTGAACCCACTAGATCAGTCTTGGTCCAGAAAGCTCCCAGGCACCATGGTAAACCTGGTGAATCACCCGAACACCCAGACTCTGAGCTGTTGTCAGGGAGCCCATGCACTGAGGTACATATTGCTTTGTCTGCTGCTCTCCAGCTTCTACGGCAGAAGAAGGTTCAGGACGAGTTCTGTTTGACGTTTGTCATGTGTGCTTGCAGGTTGGTATTCTGCCTTCTTTCCCCACAGTGAAGAGGTACACACCTCTTTCGCGATCATGGAACCTTCTAGATGTGACTTCTGACTGCTGCCTACAACTTTCCTTGGGAGAGCAGAAGCCCGATTCTCGTGTTCCATGTAGCGCTTGGCGCCGACTGAACTTGACACTTCTGCTTTTGAAAGCCTCCAGAGTTGCCGATCGAGCCATGAGCCTCACAAAACCCTCAGGCTTGTCTACCTCTTTGTAGCGTTGGAGATATCTGCGTTACACATCAACTTTGCATTTCACTCCGTGCTCTTAGGGTGAGTCACTTGTTCAGGTTTCCCAGATGCCTCTCGCAACGATACATCAACGCCCTGAACGCCTTGAACCACCCATCTCTGTGCTGCAGCCATTTGTGCCAAGCGCCTTTGGCCGCCTGCAATGGCACCACAAAACCAGTCATGCCTCTTCCCTCAATCTTCATGTCATTTCACGGACCTACAGAAAGAATCTTGTAATACGGACACAAAAATTGAAGATACTCGCACATCTTTCAGAGCCCGTTTTGAGAGCAGTTGGCCTAAAGTGAAAAACAAAGCTCGCGAGTAGCTTCTTCACGCCGTCTGCCTTTCGTATTCAAACTGTTTGGTACAGCGCCAATGGCCAGTGTGGACATAGAGGCGCATTGCAAGCCACAGAACGCTTTGCCCACCTGTGCTGGGCTCTTTGATGCCAGGTCGCTGATGAGGTGCTCCAGCCCGTCCCGGCAGAGCGAAGGAATGCTGTCGAGGCTGCTTCGAGGTGATTGCTGTAAAGGGCCTTTTACATGGCAGAAGTCAGGAAACCCACTCTTCGAAGCCAGCAGGCATAAACCGAAGCTTGACCTTTCAAAAGTGCCTTAAACACTTTGTAGCTGTGCCAGGAGCCGGCCTCGCCGCCTCTTGTCGGAACCTGGTGGCTTCAGACAATACAGCAGCTCCAAAACCCATCAAATGAACGGGCAAAGGCCGCCAAAAGCTCCATCATGTCTTGTACGGTAACATGAGCCTTTTGCCTCTATCATCCTGCATAGCTTCCAGTCTCCATGCTTCCTTGGTCCATTGGTAGCATCCTGTATCTTTTGGCAGCCACTGCATGAGTACGGCATCTTAAATGTGATTTCTATGTTTTCTAGACTCCAAGAGTCAATGCAGGCATTGTGTCGGAAAGGGTTGCAGATGTATCGCCGACAGTCGTCTTCAACGATCTTCAATGTTTGTCTGAGCGCAGACTAGCCAAATCAGATCTCGTTGTGCAAGGTCACTTGCTGCTGCTTGCAAATCGCATGCAGTGGGGGTGGAAATGCAAAGCCTAAGGCTCCGCGTGGACAACCTGGTGCCAGACGAGAGGAACTCAGCTAAGGAGGAAGAAGTGAAGCTGTCGGTGGAGGACTCGCCAGAATGCTCGGTCACAGCTGCTCTGGAGTGATAAAGAGATGAACATGATAGACCTCTGACAAAGCATTGTGCAAAGCCTGATGGCAGAAGCGACGACTGGAGTTGCAGTCTTGATGGGGCCAAGTAGGATTGAGTTTGCAGGGGAGCTCAAGTTCAGCTTTTTCACAGAGCTCGTAGAAATGCAGGATGATGTTGACCTGGAGAAGGCCGCTAAGGACTTCATCGCGTGATAGGGTTGCCCTTATGATTGAAGAAGACTGATTTTTCCTGCTTGGGAGTTTCTATCGGTTGGGAGATGCTTCTTTCTCATCAGAAGTTGAAAGTTGCAGGAAGCTCCAAATGCCAGCGACGACGAGCCAAACGGGCTGAAAACCCGTGTTGCATTGGCCTGGTATGCGGTGCCTGTCCTGAATGATGGATTCAACATTAGCTGCTCTTGAACGGAGCCTGCAGTCTGGACAGAAGTTGCTAGAGAGTGTAGGCAACGGCAGGATTCCCAGCGCATTGACATTCCAAGCTTTTCAATTCGACTGCGGTGAGCGCCATGTGGGAGGCTATGACAGTGGTGTACTTCGTGTACAGGAGCAGCGGCCTTGGTTATGCGCGACCAGCGATGGCAGTTTTGCCATTCAGTTTCTGGTTTTCAGACTTCTGCACATAGAACCACGAAACGGTTTAAGTGTGTAGACTCGGAGCTCTCTGTAGTATAGGCGAGGGGCCGCCCTTGTTTTTTGTTATCGCTATAGTGTCTGAGCACGCGGACTACTTGCAGATGAACCCCAAGGCATGGCCATTCACGGTAGAGTCATGGGACACCAGCGTCAGTTTTTGGCGTCGATAATCCAAGCAGAACAGGCGGTGTGATTTTGGCTTCATGTTCACTCATTGTCGGGGCCTTTTATCATCTGCTGCTATCCTGATGTTCCTCCTGTTACGTCTCATTTGTAACAAGCTGTTTCCACCTCACGCACCCGGCTGAGGCATTCTTTCAGACTGCCTCGATGGTCCATCTTAGAATGAGGGTAGCATGAGCTTATCCTGAGTAGATCCTGTGTTGGCTCCTAGACCGCAATCTTGAAAAGCTCACATGCCTCAGGTCAGGAGCTGTCCATCTTTACTCCAGACGCGTATCAACTGCGGGCGTCCGATGCCATTGGCTTGCTCTTCGTCGCCTCCTTCTTGGTCACTCGGAAACCGTGCCCCGACCTCCAAGTCCAAATAATCAGCTCCTATGATGGGCACCCCTTGACTTGAAACTGTGATTTCAGGCACTGCAACCTAAAGCCACCTAGCCACTGCGTCTCCAGCCAGCAATGCCTACTCAAGGATCCCCAACATGACCTGGAGCCAAGGAGCTACCTGATTTACGCCATCAATCCTTTCCGCAACGTCATCCTCGCTCCTCAATGCATAGACCTCTTTGAGGTGCAACGTCTGTAGGCTAGAGTCGCAGTTGTTTTTGCTGCCGCAGCAGCTGTGCATGCATTTTTCATGGTTGCGAACCCAGGTTGCTTTGCAGGCCATCTTCCCTATCTTGTGCCTGGGCGGCTATATAGAAGCCAGGGCACTAGGGTGATATCATTCTGCAAACATGCGCCGCCTTGACCCAGAAATGGTAGATTGTGACTTCTCCCGCACGTTGGATTTGACTTCTGACTTCCCATATTTTTCTTTCAAAAGGTAGCTCAGTCCTGGTATTATTCATAGGGCATTTGCGGGCTCTGTGAGCAAGACGTGATGGCTAGAATCGTAGGATTAAAGCTGAACATCCCTCAAAGCTTGGCTGATCACACTCAGGGCTGAGAAGCGTACCAATCCTGAGTACTACCGGAACATCGCTTCAGCTGCGGTGCAACTTTCTTGCGGGCTCGCAATTCGGCCTCTCAGCTTTTGAGTATGACATCGTGCGTCAGCGTTTTGGTGGTACACGGAATACGCTCTGCTATTCTAATTGATGCAGAGCTGTAGCATTCCTGAGGTAGGATGCATGAATGTCCTGACTTGTTCTCTTTTCTCCCACCGATCTCTTGAGGGCATTCACGACGCCCCAGCCCATTGGCACTGGCAGCTGGGCGATTCAGGCCAGGCTGACTACCCCATGAAATGCACAAGACGCCAGGGGAGGGTGTTCTTTTGCAAGCAGATTAGCAACAAGCATGATTCTATACGTCCTTTAAGGTATGTAGTGCAACGGCCAACAGCCCAAGCAGGCCTATTGGCAGCCGGACGACAGAACCTGGCTGCACATCAATGATGGTCTAACTGTCGCATCTGCTAAGCATTGCACATCTCGACAAACACTCCAGAGAAAACCATCTTGTTTTACATTCCAAAACCACCGCAGGTGCCTTGTCTGGATGCCCGGTGCTGCTTGCCCAACCGGTGCGCTGGCTGCATTGGGCTGATGAGACCCATGAGCACGGCTTTGCAACATCTTGAGCCAGATCTTATTTGCTGCTGGCACACTTTATGTCCAGGTCATGCAAACCGTGTCTGAGTGTAATTTGCGTCTAGCAAGCCTCGGTGGCCCGGCACTAGTCTCGGCAGCTTGTTGCGCAGCATTTGAGGTCACGCTGGCAGAAGGTTGTCAGCCGAGTCTTTTCCTCAGAGCAATTGTTTTGCGAAATTGGTAGATGGCTGGCGTGAAGGCGTGCCAGCAGGCAGATGAGCATACCAAAGAAGCAATGCGCAACTGAATACAACAATTGAGGAACAGGAGAACACCTTAAAGTCACTCCGGGTCCTGTCAACAAGATCTCCAGTTGTGCTAGACTGCTAGACTTG